AATGAGCAGTCCCCGGTTCTGCAGTGTTCGGCTCGTTCCCCTGGGATTGGTCTCTGCCTCAGCTGGAGTCACCGGCCCCAGATGGGATGTTTTACAGGAAATATTTCCCGCTGTTCCCACAGATAAATATAACGTTCTTTGCCCTGACCCTGTGGATCCTGAGAAACAAACTCTCCTCCCTCAATGCAGATGTGTCCACCCTCAGAGACCACAGGTGAGAAGGCAACAAAACAGTCCTGCAGGGTCAGATTCCTTGGTTTCCAAGGTCCTTGGTACCGGGAGGAAGTGAGGGATTGCAGGAGGGGAACACATATCTAGGATGCATAGGAATGAATTCCCATAGTGTTCACATTTACAGGAACCCTGTCCCACATAGGAAAACAGAGGCCGGTAGCTCCACCCCACTCTGCCCAGATCCTCCTGACCCAATTGCTCTCCATAGGGTTATTGTAACGGGATCTCTCCATCTGCCTTTATCCAGGTTACTGACCTTTAAAGCCATCGCCCAGCTCTTCCTTCTGGGCTGCACATGGAGCCTTGGTCTCCTCCAAGTTGGCCCAGCAACCATGGTCATGGCGTATTTATTCACCATCGTCAACAGCCTGCAGGGAGCCTTCATCTTCCTGGTGCACTGTCTCCTCAATCGCCAGGTAATGCCCACGGCCTGTCAGCGCCCACCCAGCACCTTCACCGGCCTCGTGGTGGCCATGTGTGATCTTCTCCGAGTTAGTTACATAGTGCAGTGACCGTGTCCCTCACTCTCCAGGTGAGAGAGGAGTACAGGAGATGGATCAAGGGATTCCGAATGTTCTGCACGAAATCTCAGTCATTCGATATATCCATGTCTACTGTCCCCACCACCAGCACCAAGACGGTAAGAGGTCCTCTGCTCTGTTCTAATACCAGTCTGTGAAACAGTCATCTCTATCTGGGGCTCATTAATGCTGTAAAGGTGATTTGCCCCCTGAATGATGCAGGATTGGTTATGAGCCAGGTGGGAATGTCACTGCAAGTGTCAGTGAGAGTCGGTCACCATCGAGGAGTATCCTAGATGTCTTGGGCACCAGAACAGAATGTCCTGTCCTGGCACCTCCGCGTTCCCTTCCCTTGGCTCTCCTGGGAGCTCCAGGACTAGGCAGGCATTGGCTAACAGGGCGGCCGGCTGGATGGTGTCACTTACATGGGGCTCTGACAGCCAGACAGAACCCCTCCTCCTCTCCCCTGCAGCAGAGATCACTCCCTCCCTCCCTCCCTGCATTCGCAGATCGCCTCCGGCAGTCTGGAGCTCCTCCCCCACTGCTCCCCAGCGTGCCGGAACTAACGGCTCCGGCCATTCCTGAGCAAGTTCATGGAGACATTAGGCGAAGGCCAACAACAAGGGAGCCAGGGGGTCGGAGAAGGGACAGGGAGGTTTTGGATGGGGGCAGGCAAGAGACGGGGGGGTCGGGAG